CTGACACAGTGGTTGCAACAATGGGCTCAAACATAGCAATGATTGTGGGGATGGCGCAGGACCAGGCAGTGTTTTGTTCTATTGTGCTTAGGGTCGCTATGAGTCAGAACCAACTCCACCGCACCTAACAACTACAACATCATTGTACTGTGTATCCTAACAATGGAAGAAAAAGAAGGAAAGAGAGAGGAAGAAATAAACTCTCCTTTATATTTATATATGTATGACTGTCTACATAGAAAACATAACAAGGTAATTACATATAAAATAAATATTCTAAAACCAATTGCATTTCTGCAAAGCAATAACAAGCATAAAATGTAATTTTAAATATTGATATCATTTACAAAAGCAAAAAACATTTATATGTTACCGTGTTGTTAGACGCCATCAAGCCAATTCCAACTCATGAAATGCAGGGTAGAGTGCCATAGGGTTTCCAAGGCTGAAACCTTTCGGAAGCAGATCACCCAGACTGTCTTCTGAGGCACCTCTGAGTGGGTTCGAACCACCAATCTTCTGGCTAGTAGTCCAGTGCTTAAACATTTGCGTCACCCAAAGACTCCTATATGTCACCTAGGAATAAATTTAAAGATGTTAAACCTGGAAGTGATGAGACATGACCTTCCAGTTGTCCTCTTCCAGTGGAGTCGTACAGACAGTGCTTGATTCTCCTGGCAGTGGTGTGTGCCAATACACAGGAAGTGTTTAAGTGCTTTACTGGGGGTTGGTCACATAGGCATGGATCCTACATAGCTGACCTTGGTTATTCAGTCTCTAGCCTCTTGAGAGGTCAGACTGAGAAAGCATGGCCCAAATCCCTCACTGTAAATCATATTGTTAGCATACAAGCCCCCGGTAAACAAAGACACTCTTAACAGGCTTGCTATTCCAGGTGCTTAGAGATTATCTCCCAGGAGCTGATAAAGCACCAGAACTTTCTTTGAAATGTGCAGTATTTGAACAACTCAGGACTGCTGAGTTAATGCTTTAGTTTGGGGGTCGGGGGAACAAGTAACAAAAGATTACCTAAGGAGTGATATAATTTACATAGAATTTTAGAAACAAGCAAAATTAAGTAATATATTGTTTAGGGATACATACACTGGTGATAACATTATATTTAAGAAACCAAAAAAATAATAAACACAAAATTCAGATTCATGATCACCTCTGAAATAGGAACACAAGAGGGAATAAACCAAAACTCAAACCCACTGCCACTGAGTTCATTCCGACCCATAGCGACACTGCAGGACAGAGGAGAACTGCCCCATAGCGTTTCCAAGGAGTGGCTGGTGGATTCGAACTGCTGACCTTTTGGTTAGTAGCCGAACGCTTAACCACTGTGACACCAGGACTCCAAGAAGGAAGAAGGGAGGAGCAATTAAGTAGATGCAACAGTATCGGTTACGTCCAATTTCTTCAGTCCACAGCTGTTCATTTTATTATTATGCTTAATAGTTGAATTTATGTTACAAATATTATCTGTAATTTGTGAATATAACACAGTTTTTAAAATCTAAATCTCAACTTTAAAAAGATTTCTTCTCAGTATGTAAGAACTAATTTATTGTTGGAGCTCTCCAAAATCTAAGGGAGTTTGGGAAGCAGCAGGAGGAGGGGAAGGTTAAACTGGTCATGAGTTTCTTGTCACTGAAATTATTCAAGCAGAGGTGAGAAAACCCTCTTAAATAAGTGTAAACATTTAGAAGTGAAAAGCATTTGTTGGCTGATTGAAATACATGGCTTTTAAGTCACTTCCAGATCTGAGAGACTATGATTCCATGGATCAGTTGTTGAGTGACTAATTTACCTGTTCATGTTAGCCAAGATAGTAACATAGAGTTCACATAGATGCTGCCTGGATCCCCCATTCCTGCATTAGAATAAAGCAGTCAGTCCCAAAATAAGATAAGGAACATTTAACAACTTCTTCCCAAAAGTTACTTCCTTCTGGTCTTCCCATAATAATAATTTAATCAATTCATCATACCTTTAGGGTGAGAGGATTTGTCTATCCATCCATCCATCTATCCATCCATCCACCGATCTATCTCTACACACACATACACACATGTATGTATATACATATTAGCATTCTCATATAACTCAATTGTATTCAAGTAATTTCCTAAAGATGATGTTGAAACCAATCTTAGCAGGTAATAAGTTGTAGGCAGGATCTTAGAGAATTCTCTGCCTTTTAATTCTCATAGCTTCTGGAGTTGAAAGTAGAAAGCCATTTTACTGAATGTGCTGCCAAACGTTCCTCAGATCCCTCACCGTCAAAGAGATGGGAACGCCAGCAAAAGTGCTAGGATTGTCACCTACAGGGAACATTCAAAACCAAGTTAAAAGCAGAGATTAAACAAATTCATTTGTGCCCACTGCCAAAAGGCGAGGGCAATCTTCAGAGCCTGGAAATGAGAGAAACCAGAAACGATAAATAAATCTTAAGAGGGCGGAGGTGCTGGCATTTACTAAATCCACACTGGAAACAGTTCATTCCTTAGATCATTCGGTTCAGTCAATCATCTCTGAAGATACCCCTCAGAAGTGCCTTCCACCTACAGAAATCTGCCTGGAGCTCACCTAACCCACCTGCCTGTCTTCTGAGCGATGTCACTTTGGGATATTAATTACAGTAAGAAAGAGAATCAAAGATCAACCCAGATATTCTGGTTAAATATGAGGTGGGCTGGGGAAGAAGTTAAAGCTGAAGACTGAAACCAGACCCTGGCCCTTCACTTACCAATGGCTGCCTAAACCTATTGCTGTCAAGTCAATTCCGACTCATGGTGATGCCATGTGTGCAGAGTAGAACTGTTCCATAGAGTTTTCTTGGCTGTAGTCTTTACAGAAGCAGATTGCCAGACCTTTCTTACGAGGCACTGCTGGGTGAGTTAGAATCACCAACATTTAGATAAGCAGTCCAGCACAAACCATTTGCACTACCAAGGACCCTAAAGCCTCTTTTAGTGATGTGACACATGACAGGTTGTGGCTTTCTTTTCTGGAGAATGTCACTCCTGTCACTGTGTTAAGAAGAGAAATGGTGACCAGCAAGGACACTTCTGCAGTGAGATATGCAAACGATTCCAGAACGCATCAAGGTTCTATTTGCTGTCTTCCTGGGGTCAGGGTGTTTAAGAAACTCAATTATGAATGATAAGGCAGTAGCTTATCTTGCTCCGGAAATCACGGCTGGCACACAGAAATTTTGCTATTCGCCTAGAAGTGGCAAAAAAAAAAAAAAATCATCCCTTGGTGGGTCATGTGACCCTACCCGCTCTCAGAGCTGATTACTTCTTCTTGCAAGGGCGCTGCGTGGAACCTCGGCAATCTGTGGAGTTTTTCTCTGCAAATGCAGGAAGAAAGCAGGTGGATGGATAAATAAGCATGGCCTTCCTCCTGGCGTCCTTGCTGGCATTCCTGAGTTTGGGCTCCGGATGTCATCACAGGATCTGTCACTGCTCTAACAGGGTTTTCCTCTGCCAGGAGAGCCAGGTGACGGCGATTCCCTCTGACATCCCCAGGAACGCCGTTGAACTGTGAGTAAACCCTGTGAGCGGGAACGGCTGCGTGGCTGGCATTTGCGCGTCGGGTACTATTATTATTCTCACATTAGGCTCATATCTGTTAGGCTGAAGTAGTTCTGCCCTGACAAAGGCGTGGAAAAAACACACTCCCCCAGCCCAGTGCTCCTGCCTGGGACTTTCCAAGGATCTTAGGTGAGGGTTTCTCTCAGCATTTGTCAGGAAAGGCAGTGTGGGAACCTGAATCCAAAGGCAAAGGCAGACTTTCTATTCTTTTCAACACATTCGCTCTTGCGTGCCGTACACCTTTGGTGGAACCAAAAAAGTAAAACTGAGGCAAAGTAGAAACTTAGAAGACCTAGAACAGAGGCAGAAAGGAAGGCTTTGATCTTAGTGGAATACAGTATTGTGTGTCTCCTGAGGGCACCGAATTCAAGGGGGCAGGGAAAGCCAGAATCAGTGTAGCTCTGGCGGCATTAGCAAATTTTCCTGAGTGAGATTCTTCTTGGGGGGGGGGGGCGGAGAAAGGAAAAAGGTAGGCAGTAAGGGAGGGAAGGATAAAGAATGATCTTTCATACAGCTGGGAAAATAGGACTCTTGGAGGGAAGGATAAAGAATGATCTTTCATACAGCTGGGAAAATAGGACTCTTCACTGTGTACTGAAATATTTGAACAGGAAGTAGACAGACTCCTAGAGAGTTGAAAGAGAACTTGGACATCAGGTCACTCTATCTCCTCCTTTTGCAAATGAGGAACCTGGGGTCCAGACGTTAAAGATAATTGCACACACTGTCACAAAGAGTTGAGTTAGAGCCCAAACCAGAAATCAGGCCTTTTGACTTACAGTCTACGTTCTTTCCTCCAAACCCCAGTATCGGACAGTGTTAGAGCAGCAGTGTGGCGTAGCTGTGTTTTAAGAGTCCAGGTACAGTCTCCTGGGGACTGGAGAACTATGACTTAGAGATTTTAGATAGCCTCAGTGTATTATTCCAAGGTTAGAAAACACAACCCCGTATTCTGAAGGTCAGTTTCAACATTCGTCCTCCAAAGCTATTGGCGACTCTTACTTTATTGCAGAAAGTGGTCATCCTTTCAGTTCATTGTCTACATTCAAACATGTTGGTACTGGGTTTCACACTCTCACTCAGGGAAAATGTTTCCCTGGCATGGTCAACTCTGCTTGCCAGCTTGTCCTTTGACATCACACATCCTCAGTACTTGTCCAGAGCCAGCAACAGCAACGGAGGGAAAACAACTGGTCAGCTCTGTGTTTTGGCTACACTGCCTTAGATGAGACAGGTATTTGCTGAAGAATGGGCCTATGTACAAAGACACTGTGGTTTACAAGTTCATTCTAATCACAGGGGAAGGTCAATGTACCTGAGCTCCTAGATGAAGTCACTTGCTCGTAAGTGACTGGACAACTACTTAACCCCTTCTGAGTCTGCTTGATTGAATTCTTTGAAGAATAAGAGATTGACACTCCCCTTCTGCATCTTCTGGCCCATCTCTGCCTCTTCCAGTATTTCTCTGTGGGTCAAATAGTGCCACCCAGTTGCTTAAGGAAATAACCTCAAATAAGGTATAATTTTAGTGTGATACACCTCTACCCCACCCTCCAAATCCCTTCCAGACTAGGCTGTCTGCTTTCTGAAATCTCTTTACCAGGAGAGAGATTGAGAGATTTTCCTGTTTTGGATACAAAATATAGGCTTAAAGAAAAAAGAAGAAGAAAAAGGAGAAAAGAAAATTTTACCGTCAAATCCTAAGCCCCAGAGAGTAGATATGTATAAGTGAGTGGGAGAAGGGCAAGACTATGTTAAAAAACCCCAAATAAATCATAGTAAGATGTAAATGACTAATATACATCTCTGCCCAAAAGGACTTTCCTTACCTGAGAGAAAAGAGCACGAGATATTGAGATATTATGGAAAAAGATTGTAGGGGAGAGCACTTTGAACAGATCACCAGAAACATATTTTACTCTTGACAAAGACTAGCCTTAGGTCAACCCCTTACATAGGTGCATGTAATGGAGGACAAAGTTGCCTAAAACTAAGATGGGGAAAGAAAATGCTTTTCATTTATGGGCATTTCCCCTACCTGAGGAATGACTATTGTTGAGAGCTTTGGGGACTAAACAACGTCTCCCAGAAATCTAATCTTAAGAAGATTCTTTTCTCTGTACACTTTTTAGCAGGGCCTGAGCTGGACAGTTCTAGAGCTTAGCTTTGCAATCTTGGCAAGGTGTGTTCAGAAGAGGAAGAGAAACCTTGCTTTGGATGTTATACAAAAAGGGAGAAGTATTTAGGGAGATGTTTGAGGTCAGTTTGTAAACCACCGAAGACACCGAAGAGCAAATAAGATGCCAAGTGAACTAGAACTCAGCCCTTGTGTTAGAAAGAAAAAGCAATGATCTAATCAATTCTGTGTTTTTTGTTTTTTTTGTTTTTTTTTTTTTTCCTCCCCTTCTTTAAAAGGATTTGATCCGGGGGATCTGGGACATTAGAACAAGAAAGATGAAATGGCTTGTTCAACTAAGTATCTCTAATTCACCTTGCAGTCTTCCGAGTTTGGGTGTCCAACTTTAATGATGATCACATCATGTGTAGGTGGCTAGAATAGCTGGGCTTCATTGACAGCAATTGCTAACCCATCAACATGTCAAAGCTTTCATTGTTACCCAGGTTGACCAGGGAAACGTGACTCCTACATTTTACTATGTACATGTTCATGCTATCGTTTCATCCACCTTTCAGCGGTTCCATTTCATGTATCTACCAGCCACCAACAGAGATTTCTAATTCCCTACAATCTGTACTTGCTGTTGTTAACACCAAGAGAACAGAAGCGCCATCAACAGGCAGGTGGAAGCGATTCAGTGAGGAGACCCTACTATGTGCTTTATGGTTTCCACACACTACTATTTCATTAGAACTTCACAATAGCCCTGCGTGTGTGATATTATTGCTCCGTGTTTTAAATGAGGCAAACTGAAGCACAGAAAGGTTAACTAACATGGGCAGAGTCAACCCTACAGTTTCTGAGGGGAAGAGCTGGGATCCAACCTGAAGTCTGCGTTCATCTCCTCGGCACGCTGTATACGATGAAAGCCTTCTGATTCCTTTTATTTCTTCCTCAAAAAAAAAAAAAAAAAGGTCATCCTTTACAGTTTGGACCAGGGGTCAGCAAACTTTTTTTATAAAGATCCAGAAAGTAAATATTTCAGGGTTTGTGAGTCTCCAGCAACTACTCAACTCTGCAAGGTAGCGTAAAAGCAACAATAGACAATCCGTAAACTAATGAGGGTGTCTGTGTTCCAACAAAACTTTGTTAATGAGCATTAAAATTTGAACTTCATATCATTTGCATATGTCACAAGATACTGTTCTTCTTTTGATTCTTTTCAATCATGTAAAAAAGGTGAAAAGTGTTCTTATCTTGAAGGTCACAAGCAAAACAAGGGCAGGACAGATGTGGCCTGCAGGCCCTCATTTGTCCACTTGTGATTTAGACTATAGTTGAGGGGGTAGGTTGGAGTCCCTGGGTGGAACAGATGGTTAAGCATTCATCTACCAACGGAAAGGTTGGTGATCTGAACCAACCTAGAGGTGCCTCAGAAGAAAGCTTTGGCGTTCTGCTTCTGAAAGGTCCCAGCCATGAAAAACTTATGGAGTAGTTTTACTCGACACATGTGGGGTCACCATGAGCCGGAATCGACTCGATAGCAACTGGTTTACTGGTTTGAGGGCGTGGGTTAAAAGATTATTGGCTTAAGTGGGGTTTAGGTCTCCTGAGACAACCTGGCCCCATGGAGAAAGTACTAAACAAGGTGGACAGGACCAAGGGTCAGAAGAGTTCTGAGGTAATCTTCACAGGACAGACTTTAACGGGTTCTGACAAGGCAGAGATGGAAGAGCATCACCTCTAGAACTTGAGAACTGAAATCTGGATTCAAACCCAGGCTGGGCCCTCCTCTGTATAATGGAAATTGCAAGATGTGCTAAACTCCTAGAGTTTCTGTGAGGATTAATGAGACAATGTGTGTAGAACACCTAGCATAACACCTCTCAGGTTGTGGTTGTGGTGGTGGTTGTCATCTGTAGAACACTAGGCTAAAACTTACACTTACCACAGAAGGCTTTCTTGATCAACCAATGAGTCAACAGGTATGAGAATGCTTTGGGGAATGGATATAAAGTTCTTTATAACTCTGAGAGAGTGTACAGTCTGCCATATGCTTAAAAATAATCTCCACCCAGTGACGGTAGTACTTGCTCTCTATAAGCTTACTTACTGGGTAAGAAAATGTATTCCTGAAGGCTCTCAATATTTGCCAAGAGCTCTGGGAGCAGGTTTCATTCTGACCAGTCAAAGGATTTTGATTTCTGACTCACCCTAGAAACTCACCCTCGCCTGGAGGACAGAGGAGGCAGCCAAAGCACCTAGAAAGGACCCTTTGAGCCTGCTTATTTTTCCTGGAGTTAAAATTCCTGAGGAGAATGTGAACATTCATTCTAAACCTGAAATCTCAGCTCTAAGTGACGGTATGGAGACAATCACTTTATCTTCAGCCAGGTCAGATGATAATCATATTAAGAGGAGTGAAGAGTCCGTCTGTGGTCACTCTTGACTTAGGAGACTTGTACTGGGATCATAGTGTGAGCTGCCTATGTGGGCCCCTCTCTCACAGCATGTTCTTATACCTCACTGTGATAAGTGTTCAGCTGCTAACCAAAAGGTCAGAAGTTCGAATCCACCAGGCGCTCCTTGGAAACCCTGTCCTGTAGGGTCACTATGAGACGGAATCAACTCGACAGCAACACGTTTGGTTTGGTTTTGGGGTACTTCTAATTATCTTTTCCCCTTTTATTTTCTTTCTTTGACTTATCTTCTGTGTTTTGTTGTCTTGGTTCATATCACTCTCCATATCTTATAACCATAGGTTGTTTTTTAGGTAGTTCGGAGCTTTAAAGTGTGTCTAGTTTCATCTTTCTTTAGTAGATCCTTAGTA